AGGTTAAACATGGGGGTACTTATTTCAGATGGGGGTACTTATCTTCAGCCCTGTTGGATTAGTGGGTGCCTTTTCCTCTGACTTCTGCAAATGTAGCTCCCTCTAGCTCAACTAGGTAGGATTTTTTGTTAGTTAGAGCCTTGGTAGAAGCCTGGGATGAGTCAACCTGGGAGTTGGGCAGTGAGTTCACCTCAGGACAGGCTGAGAGGCTCTACAGGTCAGGGCTTCTAGAGCCCCCCTGCCCTTCCATAAACTGCTGGAATTTTCTGGAAGAGGGACAGAGGAGGGGACGAGGCCCAGATATGTATGTTATGAGGAACTTTGCGAACCCCCAGGCAGGAGGCTGGGATTGGTGGCCAAGGGCAACCCTTAAATATGACAGAGGCTGTGCAGCAATGGAGTCAGGTGCAAGATGGACTAAAGAAGGTGCTGGACAGTGGAGCCTGGGAGGGAGCCCAAGGGAGGGGAGCCTACCTACAGGCTGGTTGCTCTCCACTGTGCCAAGACTCCTAGGAAGGAAAATCCTGTCAGCGGGGAACGAGCCAGCCCAGCATAAGGCCTGAAAGCAGCTGCAACCCACCAAGCTAACAGGACAGTGTGAGTACTTCTACACCCCCTGGGCCAGATAAAGGGAAAGGGCGATCAGGTGCAAGACCCAAGTATTTCTCATTTGGGACTACTTAAGTGGCAGGTCTTGAAATCCCTTCCCCAGGGATACCCTCAGTGCAGCTGGGTGAAGAGGAAGGATTCATTTGGGGTCTGAGGAGGTGCATCAAGGGGACTTCAGTGCTCCTTAAAGAGACAGTGCTATTTTTCTGATCCACATTTTTGTACAGTGTACAGTTTGCTAAGACGTTTGTCCTCAAGTTTGCAGTTCCTTGGGCATCCGATATAACCCTAGACCCCATCAAAGTAGTTACCCTTCACTAAAAAACAACTGAAAAAAAGCTCAAGGACTGTTTACTAGCTCTGTGTGTGAAGATGTGGAAAAAGCATGTTGCCTGCCCATGGGGGGCTCAGGGGGGACCCAAACAAATCCAGCGGCCCTTAAGGGAGTGAGTGCTACACACATTTTGTAGACTTTTTTGTAATATTTTTGTAATATTTGAGAAGCATTAATTTGTTTATGATGGACTTTTACCTTTGATAATCACTCTTTTCTTCTTTTTTTTTTGTATTAATTTTTGGTTTCGAATAGTGCTGCTATTTGTGAATTTTATTTTGGGAGGTTTTTGTACCTGTTAACCTGTGCCAGCAGCTGGTTTTTCAATTGTTATAATTTTTTTCTAATCTTAGCGCAGTAATACACATGTTTATACTTCAATACGAGTACGATTTGTTTAAACTTCATCTTTAAAAATACACGCTTTGGAGCTCTAAATCTCCTTCTTCAGTTAATATGACAGATGAAAACAGCTGTCATAATACATGAAGAAGGGGGCTTAGAGCTCCAAAAGCTTGTATTTTTTTTGTACTATTTTTAGTTAGCCACTAAAAAGTATCACATTGACAACTCTTTTGTCCTTTCTACCTTTTTGTCTGACACTGTATATCATCTTTTGAAAACTGAACTCTGGGCTAAACAAATATTGTCTAATCAGCCATTCTCAATCAGGGCTCTGCACATTTCCAGGGTTCCTACAGAGGCTGTTGGGGGTTCCTTGAGCTGTGGCTGATTGACCTCCCATCTTTTATTTTTTTTATTTCAGGTACCTAGATAGTGCTGTCAATTTATACAGTGCTTTACACACACATATATATATATATATATATATATATATATTGTACATTCACATCAGTCTTAACCCTCAAGGGGTGTACAGTCTAAAGTCCCTAACTCACATTCAATTAATCTACGTGGTGCCATGGTTGGGATTAGAACCAATGACCCTAGTACTGCCAGGTGGAAGTGCTAACCATTTAGCCACTGTGCTGCCCATACCCATCTGATGGTGTTTGCATCATTCTCAGTCCAATGCCACTTGGGAAAGCCAAGTGGCATGACACCAATAAACTTTTTTTTAGCTGTTTGTAAAAGTGGCATTTTGACCACCACTTTAAGGGGGGGCATTCTTTCCTGCCCACCAATGTCAGGGGAATTCTTCCCACTGATCCCTGATTAAATAATTTAGCAGGAGTTTCCTAAGACCCCAGGGTTGCTCTGGGGTGATACCGCTGAAAAAGGCTGCTCTACATACAAGAGACATTTATATTATTGCTTGAATCTTGATCGTCTTTGCGTATTTCCTCCAAAACTTTATAGTAGTCAACAGGGGTGGACTAACAACTCATGGGGCCCCCCAGGCAATAGGGGATCATGGGGCCCCTGTATCCAAACTCAAAAAAGTCTATGAAAAGGTACCAGGGGCATCTCATGGGGCCCCCTACTCACCCTGGGCCCTCGGGCACTGCCCGAGTTTCCAAATGGTCAGTCCGCCCCTGGTAGTCAAGATATCAAGCCAGAGGACAGATAATGCAGCAACTCCTGCACTTCACCACTGTGAAGGTACTTCTTTTGATGAAGATTGGTCACAGCTGCTGTATCTGTGTACAGATAACTGGTTTTGTATCTGCCCCCTCCTGTAGATCTCTGCAGCAACCTGTCCTGGCTGGACTTGCTGGGCCCCTCTGCAGCTTTGCTCACTATTTTAAAAAATAATATCTGAGATTACCAGGGCATCTGATGCACACAAAGTGGTTTTATATCCGTTTGCCTTTTGAGTGTTATATTAAATTTTAAATATTTATTAACAATCCTCTCCCTCTTTTTTTTCAGAACTTGCGCTTTGAGATGGCCATACTCATTTGAGAAATGTCGACATGTGGGAACAATCTTTTATGGGCCAGCAACAACAGCAAAGAAAAACGATTATCAGGGTACATACTCAATCACATTGTTCTCATAAATATTATAACAAATTTTCTAACCTACTCAATGGTTTTATTTCTTGAGAATACTTATGTACAGCTCTCATGTGCTGCCCTATAGACACTGGATCAGACAATAAAAGACTACGTTGATAATCTGTCATCTAATATTTATAGGTACCTTTTTTTTTAGCAACTGAACTGTTTCCATATGATGATGGTAAAGTCTTTTCAGCTAGTGCAGATGTAGTTTTAATAAGTTATCAGTGGTATGAAGTTAATGGGATCTTTGCATGGCCAGATGGCTGTCGGAAAAGTGTTACATAAATGATTAGCTTGTTTGTCCATTTATGTGCAGTAGTAATAATAATAATAGTAATAAGGGCCCATGCACACTGGCTTATAAAAAAAAATGCTGCTTCTATAGGAGTTTTGTGTTCTGCCTGTAGAAGCAGCTCAATGTTATGTGTCCAGGGGCGGACTGACAACTCATGGGGCCCCCGGGCAATAGGGGATCATGGGGCCCCTGTGTCCTTGCCCAAACTCAAAAAAGCCTATGAAAAAGGTACCAGGGGCATCTCATGGGGCCCCTTACTGACCCCGGGCCTACGGGCAGTGCCCGAGTTTCCAAATGGTCAGTCTGCCCTGTATGTGTCCATGCACATTTAGAGGCATATTTTAAGCTCAGCATATAGAGGCAGTAAAAAAACCCTGGTTTGCATTTTTGACAGGAGTTTCCTGGCAAAAAACAAAACACTGAATGCTCCTAAACACGCCTAAATTCATGTACAAAAATGCTCTATATGAGTGTTTTATTCTGTCAAGGGAACTTGTATTTTTTTAATTCTAGTGTGCCTGGATCCCAATAATAATGTTGTTATAGAGTTTTTCTCCGTAAAGCGGAGTTCCACTCACTCTGTAAAAAAAATAAATGTCAGCAGCTACAAAAACTGTAGCTGCTGACTTTTAAAAAACAGTCACTTACCAGTCCCAAGATCCTGCGTTGCCCCCGCCGTGGCCCATTTCCCCAGCCGTCCTGTATTCCAGGAGGCTGGCATCTTTAGTATGGGCACCTGGCTGTGACAGCTTGTGGCTTCACAGCCGGGTGCTCGCTGCGCATGCGCAAGTAGCGCTGCACTTCCTGAATGGCCCCGTCATCTCACAGTGGAACTGGGAGCGGGTACTTGACAAATTCGGGTACCCGTCCCCCCCGCTCCCCAAAGGTGCCAATCCATAATGGGGAGCAGGGGGCCAATCTTTAAAGCGGAACTTCCCCATTTGGGTGGAACTCAGCTTTAAGAACACAACCCCTTAAAGGAGAAGTACAGCCAATTCTTTTTTGGCTATACTTCTTCTATAGGTAACAGGATGGCAGTTTGTTCTGCACTCCTGTGACCCATTTTCAGCTGACAGTGGGCTAAAGTCTGCTGTCTGATGTCACTCAGCCGATCCAGACTCTGAAAAGATTCTGACCATATGGCCGGGATCCACCCAGAAGCCTCAGTGATCCGCCAAGAGCCTGAGCCAGCTCTCTCGCCTCTTCCACAGCCCAGTGCTCCAGTGAGTGCTGGAGGAGGGGAGCAGAGAGCCAGTAACTGCTCTTTGCTCAGAGCTTAGGGGAAGAACTGAATGATCGTGGTGTTTGATAGCTCAGTTGCAGCTGCGGATCGATGTTGCATGTTGAGAATAAATGTTTGTTTTTTTTGTAAGTCCATACTTCTTTTTTAAAACAGAATAGAATACCCCCCCCCCCCCCCCTCCCAAATGCTAGTAGGTAGATTTTTTTGGGAGCAGAAAAGACTTTGTATGTCTTTTGTACCAAAAAAAACAGATGCTTACAGTTCAGCCAAGTGATGGGACAATTTTACTCCAGCGGCTGCCCAATGCCAGAAGAAAGAAGATTCAAGAAGGCTGGTAGTAGGGAGCATAGCCTTTTTGTCACTGGAGGAGGGCAAACTAGGATACTAAGATGTTTAATGGGAAAGTATGCAATGCATACTTGGATAGTGTAAAAAGCAATTTAAAGTGTTACTAAACCCTCAACAGTAAAATCAGCCTGTAAATTCAGTAAAGCATGTTTGTTATACTGTGGAACCTAAGGGGTTAATCCTCTGCATTGTGTAAGAAGACCCTTTGATCCTTTCTTCTCTGGTCCTCCCCTTTTTGAAGTGTCCACCTCTTATCTCCTGATAATACAGACTGAACCATAGGCATTTTCACATGCTCAGTTTGGTTTGCTCTATTGCTAGAGAGGTTTTTTTTTTTCTTGGGAGAGTGTATGTGATCAGCACAGGGCCAATCAGCACTGTTTGGACAGAGCTCAGGGGTTCTGCATCCTCCAAGAGCAGAAAGAAAACGCCTTCTACAAGCTTTAGCTAGTGCTGTGTTAGACACTGATAGAAGCCACAAGACTGCTATAACTGCTGATGAGAAAAGGTATTTAGCAATTTATATATACTAAAATAATTGCATTTCCATGTTGTGTGTACTGTGGAAGACCAGATATAGTGGATGCAGGGTCCTGGGTTTAGTAACACTTTAACTTCTTAACATAAAGGGACAGTTTTTGTGGATATTTTCCCAGATGACTTTGTAATAGTATTTTTATTGCTAGTTTTATATTGAAATTGTAAAGTGCAAAATGACATTTCATAATGCAAGGTGATAATACAGTATGCTCAGATACAATTTAATCACAAAACTTTATGGCAAACAGCCATGCTGAGTTATTTTGTTATATAATAGTGCAGCTTATGTAAATGTCATATAACTTTATAGTAGTCAAGATATCAAGCATACCAGAGGACCTGCAAAGAAAAGAGTGATTTGGCTATTTTGTATTATTATTAATTGAGTTATAACCTTTTTCATAGACTTTTTTGAGTTTTGGCAAGGACACAGGGGCCCCATGATCTTCTATTGCTCAGGGACCCCATGAGTTGTCAGCCCGCCCCTGATTGGCAGTGACATGCCTGTAGCTTGTCAATCAGCACCTGACCACTCTTAGTCCTGCCCACTGCTTTCTGGATTGACAGCATGGTCTCTGCTAGTGAAACCCTCCCATTTTGAGCTGCAGTCTCTGGAAGGTGAGCAGTGGGGGACTGACAACTCATGGGGCCCCCGGGCAATAGGGGATCATGGGGCCCCTGTGTCCTTGCCCAAACTCAAAATAGCCTATGAAAAAGGTACCAGGGGAATCTCACGGGTCCCCCTACTGACCCCGGGCCCTCGGGCAGTGCCCGAGTTTCCAAATGGTCAGTCCGCCCCTGGTTATAACATATACCTGCCTTATTTCATGGAAGAAGGGTAAGAATTTGTAAGCCTTAAACTGCTTTCACCTCTGCCTTGTGGTTTGGATACAGTGCAGGTGCAACATAGTGTACCCCCTGGTTTTTGTACAATTTCCCTGTAGTTTCCCATAAACGTTTATTATGTCATTCGTTTTTCAAGCGGTTTCTGAAAGTGTGCTTTCAGGAAATATGCCAAAAACATGGGACATAATAGAAGTCTATGGGAAACCCCAGGTAATCAACAAGAAAGCCATGGGAGCACTGCAAAGAGAAACAGCCCTTACAACAATCCATGGCAAGATTTTCTATTCAACAGCGGATCATAATCTTCACTGACACATTTTGGTATTGTATCGATCAATTTTCTTTAATTACAAAGATGTAAAGAACCGTTGCTCTCTCTATATGTCTCAACTTTCTGAGATGGTAAAGGGCAAAAGGCTAAGGGCATGCTATCACGGCTTCAGTTACCTGGACCGTAAAGAGTTATTACAGAAAACATTATTGGTTAAATTTACAAGCGCTCTCTTCACTACTGCCTTCCCTTTATACTTGGTTTGCAGAATAACAAAAGCATTAATTTGGTTGGATAAAGGAAGGTTTAGCCTAGGGACATTAGGGGTGTCAAATTGACGGCCCTCCAACTGTTGCAAAACTACAAGTCCCATCATGCCTCTTCCTTTGGGAGTCATGCTTGTAACTGTCAATCTTGCAATGCCTCATGGGACTTGTAGTTTGGCAACAGCTGGAGGGCCACCAGTTTGACACCCATGGGCCCTAGGTTCATACTAGGACTGATGGATAATCTTGCGTTTTTGCTTCATTTTCATGCTTCATCCAGTAACTAACAATATCTAGTATGACATCATTGTTAATAGAAGGAAGAGACTGGATGTTAAGCACAAAACTATGCACCAAAAATGTACCAAACATACATGTCCATGTGTTTTTTCATGCACTCTTTTTGAAGTCTGTGGGACCAAAAAAGCACTGTGTGGCACCAAAAGATGCAAATTCACCCTTTCAACAATCGCATTGCATGATGTTGCATTGATGTGAATGGGTACCATAGAGAATAATGGGATTTTTATTGTAGTGCATTGCAGTGCAATAGAAGATGTAAAACAAATTGCACTAGTGTGAAACAAGTGTATTTTTAAGCTTTGGTAGTTGAATAATGTTGTTGTTTTTTTTTTATAGAGGCCTGTACACCTCTGACCAAAAAAGATCAGCAATTAAGGAGGAAGGAGGGACAGAGAGATCCAAAATTGAAACAATCCCTCCAAATGTGCTGCAGCTGGGAACTACATCTGTCTGTTGAAACAGTGGCCTCTCTGCAGAGGTCCAACACACTCTTAACTGATAAGTCAGAGCTATTGCTCTCCAATGCTAGCAGCAGACAGGAGTTTCAATTCAGGCTTTGACTATTTCTAAAGAAAACAAACTGTAGAACATTACACACATTTTGTTTTGACATATCTGGAACATATTTAGCTGATTTTAAACTAATAGTTCAATTGAGCTTTAAAGCGGCTTTAACTCCAATAGCAAACATTTATTATATTACAACTTACCGATTCTTCGATGTGATGGCTGCATTTCTATTTTTTGTAGGCTTCCTTTCCTTTATTTGCACCTGGTGATCTAGCCAGAAAGTCTGTTGTTTTTGAACAAAACAAGATGTTCTGCAGATGTAGCAGTTAGAGGGTTGAGACAAACCATTTACTACTGACAGGAGTGCTTACAATGACCAGTTTTTATTTTTTTATGTAAAACTTTTATCCCAGAAGGACAAAAAACTGCTCTAGATTCTTATAACATGTTAGCTGGAGTTTGGCTTCAATTTGTTAGTGTATTTAAATTTGCTAGTCCATATAACACTCCCCTTCCCTACCCCCAGATTAACAATGCTGCCATGCAAAGTGATCCCCTGTGCTCCTTCATCCAGAGTGTAGGCACTCTAAGACGGGGTGCGTTACTGGCCAGATCACCAGGTGAAAACAGAGGGAAAAAAAGCCTAAAAATAGAAAACACATTTTATACTGCTTTAATGAAAACACATATGACTGTTGGAGGTACAATTCACTAAAGATACACATGCATATAATTCATGCAATCTGAATCTGAATATCCCAAAGCAGTAGACTGACAGTAGCTGCTTTGGCTCCCGGTCTCTCTTCATTTGGCCTCACCAACACAAAGACATCCCACTGATAAATTTCCATTGGCCTGTATCAATTTAAGGAATATTTGCAGCCAAGGAAGCTTTGTTGTGATCAGCAGGGAATCACAGTAGCCAGCACATTGGCTAAATGGTTAGCTCTTCTACCTAGCAGTACTAGGTTCAAATCCCAGCCACAGCACCACCTGCCTGGAGTTTGCATGTTCTCCCTGTGCCTGTGTGAGTTTTCTCTGGGTATTCTGGTTTCCTCCCACACTCCAAAGCAGGGGCAGACTGACAACTCATGGGGCACCCGGGCAATAGGGGATCATGGGGCCCCTGTGTCCTTGCCCAAACTCAAAAAAGCCTATGAAAAAGGTACCAGGGGCATCTCATGGGTCCCCCTACTGACTCCGGGCCCTCGGGCAGTGCCCGAGTTTCCAATGGTCAGTCTGCCCCTGCTCCAAAGACATGCTGGTAGGTCAATTGGAACCTGTCTGAATTGGCCCTAGTATATGTATGAATGTAAGTTAGGGACCTTAGATTGTACACCCCTTGAGGGTTAGGGACTGATGTGAATGTACAATATGTATGTAAAGCGCTGTGTAAATTGACAGCACTGTATAAGTACCTGAAATAAATAAATACATCTGATTTGCCCCCATCCACTCAGTTATTTGGAAACTCATCTCTAGAGAATACATCTGTGTTATATGTTACAAATAAAGCTTGCATTTTTAAAGAATCTCCCCTTTAAAAGATACAATGTTAGAAATAGAATAGAGATGTAGTGAAACCTGCCCACAATTACGTAATTTGCTGCATAATAAAATTTGCCCTTCAATGGACATTCATATATAAAAAGCAGTAGCCAGTTTTTATCAGACACATAATTTTCCAGCAACCTCGTTGGAAAAAAATTGCTGTTGCCTGGAATTAAACTTGCAGATGTGGATAGTTGGAGCCTGATAGTGAGTGGAGTAATGTCAATAAAAAGCAGACAGCTATCCCAGGTGGGTGCATTCATGTCATGTCCCCACTCAAAATGTGAGTAATGCATTAATAGTATAAACATCTGCCCCAGATGTATATACCACAAAGCAGACCATATAAATGCTCAGTACATTACATGACCTTATTTCACTGGGATCTTCTAATTATTTAAACAACTCCTTCAAAAGTATGCAATCTTAGATTTAATGCTGTACATGACCTATTGTACCAAAGTGTCAAGGCTAGAGGTGTGCAATTGGGGATTCAACCTGGATCGTGCCAGTTTGCTCAGTATTTTATTTTATTTATTACAGGTACCTATATAGCACCATAAATTTATGCAGCACTTTAAAGTGTTACTTAACCCAGGACCCTGCATTCACTATATCTGGTCTCCCGCAGTACACACAACATGGAAATGCAATTATTTTAGTAAAAATAAACTGCTAAATACCTTTTCTCAACAGCAGTTAAAGAATTCTTGTGATTCTATCAGTGTTCAGCAGAGCACTGGTTAAAGCTTGTAGGAGGAGATTTCTTTCTCCTCTATGAGGATGCAGAACCCCTGACCTCTGTCTGGACAGTGCTGATTGGCCCTGTGCTGATCACATGCACTCTCCCAAGGAAAAAAAAACCTCTCTAGTAATACACACCAAACTGAGCTTGTGCAGAGTGTCTCCACACGATATGCCTTATCAGGTGATAAGAGAGGGACACCGGAAGAAGGGGAAGATCAGAGTAGACACAATACAGTGAGTGTATCAAGCATGCTTTACTGCATATACAGATTGATTTTACTGTTATGGGTTTAGTTACACATTAAGTGCCCTTTCACACCTAACACAGTGGGATGCGGTTGGCTGCAGTTCGATGCATTTAGGACTGTGCTCCAACTGCATAGACGGTCCAAACTCCAGGCTATCCTATGGGCATAGTTTCACACCATTGCAGTGCAGTGCAGAAAAGTACAGCATGCTGCATTTTTCCACTCCGCAAATGTGCAAAAACGCATGCAAA